GAGTGACAACAGGTACATCTCCAAATGTAGAGGTTAAAGGTGTACCACTAGTCAGAACCGAGGGGTGGGAAATTGCAAACATTTTTGAAAACTATTGTTTACATTTACTATCAGAATTATGTCATCATCTGATTTTGTTGACTAACTATACTATCATGAAACTCGCATTACTTGTTCTCTCTGCGTGAGCCTGATGCAACAAAAATGTATGTTTACATTCTGCATTGCAGAAACCTGTACAAAAGTGCAGAAGCCTCCAGGAATATTTGTTACCATTCCTTAATAACACAGAAGTGGTGTATCTAGTCAAAGCTAATCTTTTGGAGATATGCCATCATCTTGATACATAGGTATTTACTTATATAATTCTCAAACATCAGGATGAGAATTCTATTAATCTCACTAAAAATATGTATTACATAGCATTCCAAACACAATCTGGAAAAAAAGACTCAGTAATAGCAAAAGATAATATATTTTAAAATCCCACTGGCTTTAAAAGTATTTTCTCTGAAATTCTTTTCCACCCTCCATTCTGGGCATTCAGTGTCAAACTAAGCCTTTTTAAAAATAATTTTTGCTGTTGTTATGCCAAATTTGAGTGTCATTTTTTTATTGGAACATCAAAAGCAGGCTTTTAATTCTCACAGTTTTGATGCTTAATGAAAAGTGAAAGTTAAACACAGCATGGCAGCATTAAAAATGCATGGTAAATCCATAGCATCCTGACATTTTAGCCCTGAAGAGGATGTGAAGAAAAGCCATTATAAACAAAAGATACTACTAGTCTATACAAAGAAAATTAAATAGAAGGTCTGAGAGATTTACACAAAGAAGAACAGAGGAAAAACATAGGCACAAATATCTTCTAGTAATACCATCCTGATGGTCTAGAGAGGACACAATAGGTTGTCCCCTACAGGGGATGAGAGTTTGAGTTATGATTTCAGGCCTTTACTTCCAAGATACCTTAGGCTGGGCATGCTGCCAAGCTAGCATTTGCAGACACCCAAGAGAGAAGGGTTTGAATGGTTAACTGCACCAAGAAACTGGCATAGGGTGGGGAAATGGTATATCTAAACCATCTTTCCATGTCCCAATCCTGAGCCTAGTGGCTTTATAAGTTACGTTAGTTGCTGCAGTCACACAGCAGTATGCCATCTTTACACTGTTTAAGGATTCCCTTATGTTAGTGTAACCAACCGGGGTTTAGAAAGCATGGACCTTTAAAACCACATCCAGAGGCATAGGAAATGCTGTTTTTTCCAAAGAGGAGGGGGAATCAATCTAGGGAAAGTTTCAGAGACATCAGCGTTGGCAGCTCCAGACAAGGGCCCTATAGTGAGTACCCTCTCCCATAGCAAAGCAGTAGGAAGAACAAAGCGGCTGACCAGAGATGTCCCAGGATAGAAGCCTGGATATGCACCACACCTGGAATCACCTGAGAAGGACAAACCAGACCCAGAATCACAGTCACCCAGTGCTGTATGGGGCTGTGAGAAGTAGAACATTTCTCTCCATTCATCCCTCGTTTAATAACTATTTCCTTTACCCATATTTCTTGTACTATTGGGGAAGTATGGTGCATGTTTACTCTGAGGGGGGAGGAGAGGGAGTTACTCTGGAACGTGCGCCCCAAGGGTGGAAGGAGGGTTCCCCACTGGAGCAGCCTGCAGAGAGGACTGCACCTTGGCCACAAAGGTGCTAAAATTACACCAAGAAAAACCTTCACTTGCCCTCTTTGGGCAGATTCTGGACTGGTGGATTTCCACTGTCTCAGCAGAACATGGGACAAGGTTCTGGGACAAAGGTGTGGCATTGCTATATTTATTTCTCTTTGATCATCACTGGATCAGAATTGATGGACTCTGAAAAGAGCTGCATCCCTTTCTTCTTGGTTTAGAGACATTCGGCCTGTGAGGACTAGAAGAGTAAAAGGAGAAAAATGGAGGGGATCACTAAGACTGCCTCAGGAGATCTGTTTGTTCTCCTCAGAAGAGATGACAAAGCTTTTGTGTAATCAAGCCTTTGCTCCAAAAAGTATACATAATCATAAAATAAATTATACAGCTATTTTAACAGGATTTTGAGGTTGTGGGAGAAAAAGGCACTTTCATACCTTACAATTGGTTATAACATTTTTACACTCATACAAAGTATATAAAGCTGTCCTCAGGAAGCAAAGACTTTTTTTTTTACTGCACATGCCTGACATTACTATAAGGTGTTTTTGTCTGAGTGCTAGGTGTTGTTGGGGGAAAGGTTACAACAAATTTAGTTTACTGAACTTTAGTTTTTACAGTTCAGTTCTGAGCCACCATTCTAATGATAAGAGCGCCTTCACAACTGCTCTAAGTTTTAAAACAGACTTCTAAAGAGAAATTATCAGCTTCAGCCAGCAGGAAAAGGCATACATCATTCACAGACTGCAAGAACTAGATTTAGCCCTCATCTTACTTACATATGCCAGAGAGTAGGGGAACAGAAAGCCCTAAGGGAAAAGGCAAGTCTCTCAAGCAGGTGTTGTAGTTACAAAGAAAGGGGTGTGTCTGGGCATTTTGCTGGAAAAAGGCAAGAAGTGAAAGCTCAAACTTCTCAAAACAGGCCATCCTGTCCTTGGGCAAGGCTCTAAAGGCAGCCAAACTGCCAAAGACATGTGAAAGGCCATGCATGCCATTTAGTATCTTAGGCAGCATTCTACAAGAAGGAGGGATGGATAGGAGCCGATGAGCCTGAGACCATGTCAACCTACTCAACAGCTCTCTGCTTTCCGCTCTCCACTCCCCTTTTCTTTCAAATGGAGCACAGAGATAGCAGCTCCCACTACAGCATTCAGACTGTTATACTAGCTGTGGCACAGCTGCACTAGGGCTCTATGGCCATCAGGAGAAAACCAACCAATAAACCAATCAACCAACAAATGGCTTTAGAGCAGAAGATCTAGAATAATTTTGTCCTTTTCTTTCTAAGATGTGCTAAAGCTAAAGAAGAAACACATCAAATTTCCAATAATCTGAACATACACAGGGTATCAATTTAATAACTATAGAATCAGAAGTAAACATTTCAATAAAGCTCAACTTTAACATGGGGACCTTTTTCTGCTTTGGAAAGGCAGACAAGGAGAGTGACAGGTTAATGGACAATCTTATTTATCTTGAAACAGATATCTTGAACTGCATTGGACTGCTAAACAGCATGCTTGGCAGTATCACTATTACTTGGGCACAAAGATGATTTGCCTTTGTATAAATATTGCTAAGGATATTTTTACAATTTTAAAATGAATATAACTAAGATAATGAAAATGGTCTGTGCTTCTCACACAAGATCAGGAAGTTCCAATTGCTAGATCGCAGAGCCCAGTTTACAAAGCACTTAAGCATGTATATTTTTCTTCAAAGCAGCACTTAAGTACATGGACTTCAGTTGGAATTAAGCACAGGTTTAATGGCAATCATAATATGTTTAATATCTGTCCTGGACACAGGTGTTTTCCTTAACTGGGGATTAAATAAGACTCACATGGAATCTGGACAAAATTAGGATATGTAGGGTTTGTTTGCTACCCCATCTTTAACTCATTGGCAGGAAAGATTCCTGAACTGGGACTGGTCACATTTCAACAGATCTCAGGGCTTTTTTAGCAAGCATGCTCTGGAGACTAAACAGCATTACTTTCCTACTGTTCATTTGCTAGGGAAGTCCTGAGAATTCCCTAGTTACTGATTGCAGCAGGGATGATGGAATGCAGGAACAGTGGAAAAGTTTCCTCCCACCCACAGCTGAAATTGAGACTCAGGAACATTAAAGCAATAATTTTGTTAATGTTCACATTCATATTCTGAAGAATACTTATTTAAAGCCACGAACAAACTTATATTAACATGCACAGAAAGTTATATTAAGAAAGGAAGCATAGTTGAAAATGGTCTATTTAGTCTTTCTCTTGTGCACGCATGGAAAATAGACACAAACGTCAATTAAAATGGGGATTCTATCCTACCCGCAAAATAAATTATTTTCAATTCCTTATTCCATCACACAGAAATTATCTTCCTGTTTAATGTCCTCTTCAGATGAAATTACATTCAACCTTCCAGGTCTAAAATTCCCACCCTAAAGAAGAATTTAGACTTGGAAATCTTACAGGGCCTCCACTCAAGGGTAGTCCTGCTTTGGAAAAAGAGTAGCTCTACTGCATTGTGAATTAGAAGACTCATAGTGTTGGTGCAGGTCAGAAGCCAGGGCAGAAATTTTAGGTTCCATAATATCCTTGGAATATCTTGTGCATAACAAATTATCACCATACTGCTTTGGTCTTTTACTCAAATATATGATCATATACTGATTAGTATCACAGCTGAAGCGTATCTTAGGACATGTTTACACGTCAAGTGGGAAGGTGTAAATTGCACCAATTTGTGCTAGCTATCATTGAGTTAGCATGCTAGAAATAGTGTAGCCTGTTCTTAAAAATTTATCATAACCAAACTGTTTCCACTGAAGTACTGCATTGCCTTCCCTCCTTTTTTCTCCCTTGTAATTCAAGTTTGTGAAAAGTAACTCTATAAAAACAACAGTGTTGGGATGTATGTTTATTTTGTCTCAACGGCTTTAAATTTATTAGTGAAAAAATAGGAACTTTATCCAACTGCCAGCACTGCAAACTCAGCCTAAAAATCTAAAAGACAAGTTAATTTCCTTTAACTTCATGCATCATCATTTAGCTCACTCTATCAGTGACGTTGATTCTCCATAGTTAACAAGAGTAAAAAGTAGTAAACACATAGCCCTGTAACTAAATAGAACAGCTATGTCTGTGAACATGTGCAAGGGGCAGCTGTGTGAAATAAAAGCTGACATTTTTATATAGCCCCTTTTCAAATCAGAACCACACTTTGACTTCTGTGGATACAGCAGCAGGATACATTAGGCTCAGATGGAAAAAATATAGACTCTAAAAAGCTTCTGAAACATAAAATAATACGACACATTACCATTTTTGTCCATGGAGTGAGGCTCAGACTGTTTCTTGCCAATGTCAGCAAAGGATCTGACAATTGGAATCCTGTTGCTTAACTTCTTCTGATTTTGATGGTGGTGCTGCTTCAGTAAAGCTTCATGTACTCTGTGACGAACATCTTCACTGAGCTGCCCTGAGCTCACTTGTTGGTCAAGAATCATATCTGAAAAACAAATATACAAATCTAATATAATGAACAAAGAGAGAGAAATTATTTTATTAATTAATCATTATGATGCTTAATAATAATATATGCAATTACAAGTGCAGGACCCGGTCTTGTATTCTCTACTCCAGAAAAAAATTATTATATCAGGCAGCTTCCTCCTTCGCACTCCTTGGGCTAAGCAGCAGTGACACTGAAAGCAGAAGAGAGACAGGCTTCTTGCTTTCATTTGAGGGCCTAGACCTGGCACTGCATGGACCACAGCATCTAAGAGCTGAAATTTCAAGGAAGTCCTACTCAGCCTCGGACCAGAGTATGCCCAGTGTAATCTTCAGGAAATTTAGGTGGAAAGCTCTAACATGTTTCCACTGAGCATGGGTGGTCTATAGGTTGGCTAGTTGCCTGGTTTACAACTGGAAAGTCAAGTTGAAAAGAAGATTTGACATTGTCCAGTCACTACTACCCAAAGTCTAGTTACTACTGTCAGTGAAGGAATGGTATAACTACCCAAGCCAGCCCCTAATCAGCCAGGGCTGCCTCCTACATGCATCAGGTGTCTGTAGCTTCTAGTCCTGGCTCTGAGAGCAAGATCCTCCTACCCCATGTTGTGGGGCCTTAAGGAGAGGAAGAGGCCTGAAGGGAGTTCCAGCATGCCTGCTGGAGTGTCTGGTTTTCAAATATTACAAAGTTGACTACCTAGTGGGCAACAATTTTCAAAAGCTTATGCTGTGTCCAAATCTGGAAACTTTTTCCTGGGGATGAAAAGTTACCAGCATCCACCTCCATACCAGATTTCTAGACTCTGGTCCAAAACCTAGAGACATAGAGGTTTACAAAGCAAATATCCCCAGAATTTTGTAATATTGGCAAAACAATATATTTTTCCCAGTCTTATTTTTGGAAACAACTGATATACTGTGTCTTAATATTTTTCCAAAACAAAATAAAACTCTGAGGAACATATCTGCCATGAAAAATGCCAACCATAAACTTTTAGAAAAAATCAAAGAAATATCATGTTGCTTCTTCATTAACAATTGTTTTCAGATATCTGTTTTGGAGAATTATGAAATTTGGATTTTCTATTCCAAATCAGAACATATACATTTGTAAATCTCAAAATCCCCACCTCCATTCTGTAATACTAGCTGCTTTAGAAGAAGTTGCAAGGAAACCCTGCAGTAGTCTGTTGAGAAACGTAGCCTATGCCTACACTGCAGCTCTTTTCCAGGATACTGGGAAATTTTTTTTGAAAAAGCGAACACGCTCTTTTGCCATCACTGTAAACCTCATTCTATGAAGAAGAAGGGATGTGTTGAAAGAGCAGGTTTTTCCACAATTTTGCACCATGTAGACATGACAAATTTTGGAAAAGCCTCTTTCCAAACAAAAGCGGAAAAAGATACGCAAATTGTGATTTGCATTTTGCATATCTTTTTCTACCTTTTCTTTGTAGTGTAGATATAGCCATACTGTCCCCATAAAAATGTCTTCCCATTTGTTACCAGGTACCTTGTACCCACAAGAATGGGGGTTGTATATTTTACACAGACAGACACACACACACACACCCCACCCACCATGAGTCTGGATGGCCAATTGTCCATAAAAAAATGACATTTTTTAAAAATCCTACTGAGTTGTGGCCCCACTTATAGCAATTAGTTCCATGGGCTAATTATATATTTGTAGGAAAATGCACTTATCAGTTTCAAATTTGCCATCTTTCAATTTCATTGAATGTCTTTGGGTACGTCTACACTACAACGTTAATTCGAACTAACTTAGTTCGAATTAGTTAATTCGAACTAAGCTAATTCGAACTAACGGAGCTAAACTAAAAAACTAGTTCGAATTAGCGTTTTGCTCATTCGAACTAGCGCGTCCACATTAAGTGGACCCTGAACCAGGCTTGAGGATGGCCGGAAGCAGTGCCGGCAGGGCATCAGAGGAGGACTTAGAGTGTGGAGATGCTGTCTCAGGCTAGCCGAGGGCTGTGCTTAAAGGGTCCCGACCCCCACCCCGGACAGACAGTTCTCTGGGTGCCCCGCTTGCAAACAAGTCCTGGCTTGGATTGCCCAGAGTACCCACATTGGGCACATCACACCACTCGGCCATCAGCCCGGCTGCACTTGCCGCAGGCTGCCATCTGGGGAGAGGGGACAATTGGGGGGCTGCAGAGAGCTTCCACCCCCAGAAGGCCC